AAAAAAGCTTTTTCTGAAAATCAAAATACCACAATTCCCTTAAAAACACTAATCAAAAATGTTAAACCTAAATTTATTATCACTAAACATTACAAAAGAAGATAATTTATTACAAATTTTATAATAAAATAACTATTAGCGCATAAATAAATATATAAATAAAGTTTAAGGATAAATGGTGTCGATCAGGGGATAATGAACCTAAGGAAAAAAAAATTCAATCGAAGCAATTATCAAATATAAGTATGGTAATCCAAATCATCCTCCTCTTCAAATGAAGTTGTATGCTTCAGCCTCGACCTAAAAAAGAATATCACCAATTAGCAATTATCAGCCTTTGACTGCTAGACGACGTGATAAATGAACAATTCGCTTCAATGTGAAAAACCATACCTTGTCCTTCTCCCTCGTTGAAAAATTCTCTTAAAGAGTTCAACTGCAGTTTCTTAATCGGACTGGTTGATTTTGTTCAGAGGGACCTTATCGATCTCTGTTCCTTTCGTTAACCCCAACAGGCCCCGAAATTGTAAACGAGGGTCCACTGTCTGAATTTTGCTCCTTTCATTTTCGTGCTATTTTAAATAAGGCCCATAAAAACAAATGAAAAGTTAATAATATATTCAAGTGATTCTTTGTCTGATATTTTTATCCCACTGGTTGCCTCGAAGACTTGAACATAAACGAATCCGAAGTTTACCCAATGTCCCAGAGAGCTAGTGTTGGTCACCCCGAAGACTTGAACACCAGACGAACCCAAAGTTAACTTGGTGCCCAACACTAGATTTTGTGGCTCAACCCAAAGTCTTTAAATTATAAGCATTCTCTGAGAACCTTTACAACCGCCACTTATTTCTGCTTCGCTTCCAACAAAAAAAAAACACTTGCCTCCCTATAATTATTTAACTACAGACGTGACTCTGTGAAGATAATCACCATGTTCACTCGCAATTGAGATTCACGCTTCCGAAGCCTTCTACCTACGATATTTTTCTCATTCTCTTCCTTTGACAAATGAAGAGGTTATTTTTGTTATTTAAATTTTTATTTTTAAGAAGGATAAATTTAGGTTTAACATTTTTGATTAGTGTTTTTAAGGGAATTGTGGTATTTTGATTTTCAGAAAAAGCTTTTTT